AGAGATGGAAGGACAGACAAGAGAGAAACAGTGACAGAGAGAGTGTGAAACCCAGGGTGGGGTGAGAGACAGGATGGACAGAGACAGATATAGAAAGAGAGAGGGAAAAACAGTCGGGGAGAGAGACAGAGGGTGTAAAGAGCGAACGATCCCATGGTGAGAGACCTGAAGAGAAAACCCGGGGGAGAGACAGAGAGTGAGAGAACAATAAACCCACGGGGGAGAGGCAGAAGGACTGAGAGAAAGAGAGAAAAATCCCATTAAGAACAAGAAAAAGAGCAGAAAGGGGGGGGGGGGGAAATGTAAACCCGGGGTAGGGACAGGACTGATAGAAATCCCAGTGAGAGAACAAAAAAGGACAGATGGAGAGAGAGCGAGAGACAGAAATACAGAGAGAAATCGAAGGAGAGAAGAGCAGATACCATGGAGAGAGAGTGATGGAGAGACAGAGAGAGGGGGTTGCAGACAAAATGCCCCTAAGGCAGGAACAGCAAGACCCTTCTGGGAGAGACAGGCAGCTAGGAATATGGAGGCAGAGAGAGGGAGGCAATGAAATCTATGGGATCAGACTGTGTAGCAGCCCCCTTTTTGCCCCTTTGTCTCCCCCATTCCCCAGCCCAGAGCTCACATCCTTGTGGTTCCAACCCCAGAGATGGCCTGAGCTCCACAATTCTTTTCCCCGTGAGTTCGTGAGTCTGTAAATGAACAACAAGGAGATGGAACGGTTTATTATAATTCTCTCGGTCTCTCTCTCTCTCTCTCTCGTTCCAGCTCTTGTCTGAGGACTCCTCACGGCGAAACAATTTGATTCTCTGTCTCTGCATCATCCCAAGTTTCAGCTCCCGGATCAAATCTCCTCTGAGGTAGGGGTGTGGAAAGACTGAGAGAGAAATGAAAATTGATTAAAATTTTTTAAAAGTCCAGCACCAAAAACACAGCAAGGTCCCACTGCTGGCTGAACTTCCAGAATCTGAAACTTCCGCCCTCCCCAGCACAGCAAGATCCCACTGCTGGCTTGAATTTCCACAATATGACACTCTTCCCACCCCTGTACATCCCTGATGTTAAATTCACCGAACGGGGAATAGAAAGGTGTCTAAAACTGTCTCAGGACTATCCCAATGTTTTTGTTTGAAGAGAAGGGCGGGAGAAATATTTACTCCAGAGGCTGGGATTCACATCCCCACAACACCCCATCCCCTCTGCCAGAGTCGTGCATCTCCCTCTGTGTGCCTAAGCTTCAGTCGCTCAAAAATCCGCCCGGAGAAAGAGAGAGAGAGGGAGACGGAAATTGATCAGATCAAAGCCCAGATGTTTTGAAACAAATATAAAGAGAAACAAAATGAAATCCCATCACTCACTGACTTCCAAGATGTCCCCAATTTATCAGCACTTTCCCCTGATTTTAAACCCAGAAAATAGGAACAGATTTCAACTGGGATCAACGGGGAAATGCTTTCTGACTGCCCCCAGGATTTACTTTCTGAGAGGCTGGACAATGACTCAGTGGTGGGGAGTCACTCCCTAGACCTTGTGTCTCTCCCTCCCTGTCTTCCTCGCTTTCTCTCCTCTCCCTCCGTGTTTAACCTGCCCCCTCCAATTGTTCACTGACACTCCGGGGCGGGGGGTGTGGAGTAAAAACACAAAAGACAAGACCAGTGCCCCCGTCCCACTGTCATTCATTGGGCACAGCTCCCGTGCCCACTTCGTCCGAGGTTGATGCTGTTTCTTCAGTTCATCTTGGGGTGAGGGTGACGGGGTGACAAGAGGTGGTGGATGGTTGGGGTCTGGGCGGGTGGGGCAAAGGAGAGACGGTACACCACACCGTCCGCAAACTCAGCCCGGGACCCCATAGACAGGCTCGCATCGCGTGTGAGGGTAACCCGCAGGCCCAGACAGTGCACAGCAAGATCCCACAGACAGCCATATGGTTCCCTCAACACACTGTCACAGCCCACCACTCCATTGCCCCCAAAACAGAGGGGCTGACATAGGAATGAAGGACATTCTGCACAGCACGATCCTACCGGCTGTTCCCCCCAGCACCCCCTCACACTGAAGGACACTGAAGGTTTCTGTAGCCTTCACTGCCCACGTTCAGAACGCCTGTCCCATCCCGCCTCGTCTGAAAGTGGAACGTGTGACCCCCTGCTACTGGAAGGCTGTCCCCGCACAGCAAGATCCCACAGGCTGCAATGTGAAAACAGGCCTCCCCCAATGAGTCCACCAGCAAATACTAAACTCACCCATTTCCACTTGGAGCTGCGCTCAGACTGAATACTGGAGTTAACCTCTCTCCCCCTCCCCCCAAATCCTGCACTACCCCCACTCCCCCTCTTTCAGCTGTCTCCTTTCTCACTCCAACACCCCCATCTTCCCCAACCCCTACCCTTCCCGCTGTGCAGGATCCCATAAGCAGCAAAACGTGAAAGTGGCCACTCGTTGATGGAGGGGATTAATTTCATCCTGAACATTGGCCTAGGGGGACTGGAGGGAGGTCAGACCCTGTGTTTCTGCCAGTTTGAAATGCTGAGCCCCGTCCTCCCCAGTCCCAGTCCCAGTCCCAGTCCCAGAGCCTGCTCTGACCCCGCACCTCCCCCACCCAGACAGGAACGCGGTCCCAGTCAACGGGAACAATTCCCTCTGTTCACCCCAAATCCTCACAGGCAGACCGACAGGGATTGGGGGGGGAGGGGGGAGGTGGTGCGGTGGGAGGAGAGGGACGTGGAGAGGAGGTGGGATCCCACTCTCTTCCCACATCCTGACAACCCCCACCCACACACCCACCTCCCCATTAAAATGATGACAAGTCCCAGCAGAGCTTCTCCCAGATATCCCAAGATGAAATACAGAAAGAAAAAGGCAGGATGGAGAGATAATGAAATCCAGCCCTCCACTCCGTTGACCTCAACTCACCAATAAACCACATTCAAGTGGTGCCTGCACCTTCCATTTACCCCTTGCTGCCTCGTGGCCATGCCTGAAACAGGGATACCACTCTCCACAATGACTCTCAAAGTTTCACATAGCCTCAGGACTACTGATCTCCCCCTCCCCATACCAACCCTCCACTCCCAGCAGCCCACATACACACATAACTCCCAGAAGGAGCTAAAGTTGGAATGAAGGAACAACTGCACAGCAAGATCCCACACAGTCTCACCGCATTCCAATAGAAGCACGACACACAGAGTTAGAAATCAGAGGCTTCAAAGGTTGAGATACTGTTACCCCCTTCCCTCATGTCTCTTTCTCTTCGACTTGTCTCTTTCATGTTATTTCTATCCAAGGGTGTCATCTTCAGTTGTGCTGTGAACTATTTCTCCTGCAATTTCATGTTCAATGACTGGAGACCCCACCCCCACCCAACCCGTGTAAATATTCCCTGCCCTGCACCTCTCCACCCCCTCAGCCCTCCGACCTTACTCCCATCCCTGCCTTTCCACGCTCTCCTTTTCCTTCTCCATCTCTTTTTTCTCCCCACACTCTCTCTGAATTAAGCCTCTGTCTAATTCTGTCACATTGTAAGATTGATGTTTTAAAATGAGGGGACTCCTTTTTAAAAACAAATCACCCCCTCCGTCCCAGGATTTAATTTTTGTGGATGGCCCTTTCTAGAAGGAAGTGATTGGAGCTGGGCAGTGACAAGATATTGGAGGCCACCATTCTCTCCCCCACCATCTCCCAGATCCTGTCTTCCTTTTCTAGCCCAGCTACAAAGATATATCTTGTCCCTCTATCACTCCCTCCCGTCCACACACTCTCTCTCTCTTTGTCTACATCTGTGATTTTTACCCTGTTGTCTCAAAAAAATCACCTTATGCTGCAAAATATTTCTATGTCCCTACTTCAAATAATGACGAGTCACATTGTCGTGTGTAAGATGTTTCTATTTATAGGAAAAATCAACAAAAGGAAGCTGCAGAGAGTTCAGGAAAGGAGACAAAGAGATCCCCTCCCAGGTACTCAGGGAATTGAATTCAAATGGCCAACCTGCATCTTATTTGTGCAACTACCAAATTTTATCATCGTGGCCTACACACATCACATATTACTCTGCCGTGAGGATGAGCTTTGGAGAGATTTTCACATTTAGGGCTTTAATTTCCTCTTTGGCGACTCCTGTCCATCAGATACTCACTGGGAGGAGGGTTAACATGTTTGTGTCAAATCCCAAGGCCCCGGTTACTTTAACCCCAGGCTTCAAATCTTTTTTAAAAACAACAGGACCACAATCTGGCAAGACCAATTAACCAAAGGCCCCTAAAAACCAGGGCCCCAGAGGAAATCAAACTTCAGGATAATAAACAGACACAACCCGCATGGGCCCTGGGTGGTGCAGCCTGTCGAACAGGCGTCAGGATCGTGTTCCCCTCTGGAGAAAGCCCTTGTTCTAGGGTCTCCTGGGCCCTAAACACTCCCTCTTTGGATCTTCAAAAAAAATCCCTTGGGAGAAAAAAGAGACAGCATTAGCTGAAAGGCAAAGGAGGAAAAGTCAATGGAGAGATAGAATAGCAAGATTCTAGGTTTTCCTGTCACACAGACAATTCCTCTGCAATATCCAAACACAAACATATCTGGCGATGAGTTTTCATGCCAGGCTCTTTGGAAAACTTTGAAATGACGGGTTAGCTGATTAAAACAGTGACTGTCTGCAATGATGGCACTAGAGCAATTGATACAGAACAAGATCTCACATGCAACAATGTATTAGCAGCCAGATAATCTGATTCTTTTGTTTTCCTTCTGTGATGCTGGTTCAGTTTAATTATTTCCTGGTGAACTCAGAATCTGACATTACAGCTAATTCACAATCTAAAATGCCTCTCTATCGCTCTCCTGTTTCCCCTGCTCTCAATTCTTCAGATCTTTCTCTCACAGTCACATTTTGTCATCCTGCCCCACTCCATAACCCACATTAAACCTCAGGGTCATAAAGAGATACAATTCAGTGAACCGCCAACAGAGTGCAGAGTCGAATAGGCCTCAGTCCAATACTCCCCTGCTGTTGAGGTTATTCTTGTTCAAGGCTTTCCTGGCCCCAGACATTTTGGATCTTCACATTGCAGCTTTCTAAACAAAAGTTCCTTGGGATAAAAGAAAAAAGATCAGTTGAAAGAGGGACCGAGAGCATTTTTCAGCAAAATTACACAGCAAGAGCCCAGAAGTATCTGCATGCCCCCACCTCTATGTGTGACAAAACATCATAGTAACATCAAAATACAGAACAAATCATACGACAGCAGTTCAGACAGGGAGAACTGCTCACTCTCTCAACAGAGAAACAGAACAAGGTTTGAGAATGAATCTGACAAATTTGGGGCAGCATAGTGGCTCAGTGGTTAGCACTGCTTCCTCACAGCACCAGGGACTTGGGTTCAATTCCACCCTTGGGTGACTGTCTGCGTGGAGTCTGCACGTTCTCCCCGTGTCTGCATGGGTTTCCTACAGGTGCTCCGGTTTCCTCCCACAGTCCAAAGATGTTCAGGCTAGGTGTATTGACCATGTTAAATTGTCTGTACTGTTCAGGGCTGTGTAGATTGGGGGGGGAGTTCTGGATGGGCTCCTCTGTGGGTCAGTGTGGACTTGTTGGGCTGGAGGGCCTGTTTCTACACTGTAGGGATTCTATGATCTATGATAAATTTTTTGTCCAAATTTATTCTGTGAGGGGTTTGCTGACTCCACCTATGACATATTGCAATGTCTCAGTCTGCTCCCTGGGGAGGCCTCTGTGTGATTGTGATGTTACTTGCAGGACAGGAGCCTTGTTGGATCTTCCTGGCCACTGAGATGTTAATTCTAAGGCAGCAAAGCTTTACCATTCCTTGTTTATCTAAAATCTTTTTAAAGCCTTATTATAATTCTGTCAGTGCACTTTGAAAATTAAACATTGGTCCCATTCTAGCACATAAGAGCCCAACCATGGACACCCTGAGAGACAAGACTGGAAAGATAGTGAGGATACTTGCTGAGGATCTCTTGGGTTTTCCTGCTGTCAGTGTGGCTCTGAGAATCCAACTCTCTCTCTCTCTCTTTCTGTCTCTTCTGAATCTGTCTGTCCCTATGTCTCCATGCCCTGCACTACATGCAGCCATTTCTAGCTTGACTTTCAAATCTTTATTTCCTCTTCTCCTGACGAATATATCGGCAGAGTTTGAGAATTTAAAACACTGTCACAGGCCTGCCTCTCAAATACCCACATTTCCCCACTACCCTCCCAATTCGCCCCAGTACAGGACTGGGAAGAACATGGGGTCACAGATTTTGTCAGGGTGCTAGTCAGTGAGGTTCTGAGCTCAAGTATTATGGCTGAAGTGTGTTTGTGTGTGTGTACGTGACTGTGTGTGAGAGAGAGCGAGATGGACACTATGACTGTGTGTGATGTGTGTGTGAGGGAAAGAGAGAGGGACACTGTGCCTGTGTGTGTATGTTTGTGTTGAGAGAGAGAGAAACTGCCTGTGTGTGTGTGAAAGAGAGATAGACCATACCTGTGTATGTGTGTGAGAGAGACCATACAAGAGTTACAAGTTAGCCAGGAAGGACCTAAAGAGAGAGCTAAGAAGA